GGAGAGAGAGAGAGAGAGGAAGAGGAGGAGAGAGAGAGAGAGAAAAATGAACAGTTAGAACTGACTGCTGTCAGTTGGAGTGATGACATCGTGTTCAAACACAGGTGTTGATAGTTGAGCTAACGAGCTATGAAGAGATCAAAGGCTTCATTGTTCTGAATGAGAGATGAACCTCTTACATGTGAACGTTTTGTGGGAAGAACGATAACAGATATCTGTGAAATTTCAAAACGTGAAGCATGTCAAGGAAGTTGAGTATCTGAAGTGTAATTTTGTGTACTTTCGGGTTAATAATGTGGCCTTTTTGGCAGTTTAAGAAAGGTGTGCGGCTGCTGCTGTGAGGAAATATCAGCCTGAAATTACAATGGGCTTTAATGGAGACATGAACATGTTGTTTGTGTCACTTCATGCCCTCAAGAGGCATTTTGTTTAATTATGTTTGCTTAATTATTGTCATTTTTCAAGCTACGAGATGTTTTCTTACGTTTGTCATGAAAAATGATGTCTCAGGAATGTAGGGTTTGGGAATTATGGCAGTTTAAAAAAGAATATGAAGGCACATTTCAAGATTTCTTACCCTCTAGCTGTGACATCACGCACTCTAGTTAATGTTAAAATCTGAAGAAAACCTCTTTAACAAGGTCTGAACAATGTTTAATATCTCTAAAAGTAAGAATCAGATTTAAAAGTTGTGTGTTACACGAATAATGTCAGAAGATGTGTAACATTTTAAAGTTGGAATGAGGTTTCTGAGTGAAAGTATGAATGAACAGTTAGCAGTTGAAGTCGCATGAAGATTTGTTGAAGTCTGAAGAATTTCTCCATTGACTTCAATGGTAAAAAATGTGATGTATTATGGGATGTATCTCTGGAATTATGAAAGTTATGAATGATAAAAGTAATAGCGCCCGATTCCCGACCGAGCTGAACGTTTTGATGTTTGAACGGAGTTTCTGCGATGTTGAATGTGGGAGGAGAAGACGACAAAATAATTGGACGGAATAATAATAATAAACTTTTTGTCCGTAGCATAACATATAGTTGGAATGCTCTATCAGCATTCCCACTAAATTACTTAAATTAAAGAAAAGTCCAAATTAAATAAAAAAGGGACATTATTTATCAAGCATTCATTTTTCTAATTCAGGTTTTCCCCTCACATGACTTCACATACTAAATATTTGTTTTACAATATTTTAAGATATATTAGTACATGGTTTAATCCTGATTTCACATTAACATCAGTACACTTTCTAAATGTAGTGTACATGTTTCTTTATGTTATCAGCAGTAGATTGCTGGATGGCTGCTCCTCTGTTACTCTGTTCTTATTCAACAGGCTGAAGTCACCGTAAGGAAGGAGTAAGAACCCGTTTGAATTTTTACTTACTAATCTAACTTTCACTTCCTCCATATAAGTGGTATGACAGGATTTAAACAAAGTCACTGTTGAACACATTCTTTGTAAATAAACAGTTCAAGTCTGTGTTGATTTTGGAGATGTTCGTAGTGCTGTTGGCTGGTAGCCATTTGGCATCATTACTGCAGTGTGTGTGTGTGTGTGTGTGTGTGTGTGTGTGGTGTGTGTTGTGTGTTGTGGTGTTGTGGGTGTGTGTGTGTGTGGTGGGTGTGTGTGTGTGTGTGTGGTGTGTGTGTGTGTGTGTGTGTGGTGTGTGTGTGTGTGTGTGTGTGTGTGTGTGTGTGTGGGTGTGTGTTGCGCACTCTTTCAAAATGTAGTTCATTGTTTACACTCTTGAAAAAAAATTAGGAGGAAGACTTCTTCTTGGGAACTTCATCTTAAAATCTGTGAGCAGTGCATGCTGGGAGAATTGTACCCTCATTACCAAGTTACGGGAATGTAACCAATGCAGTGAAATAATAAAGATCCAAATCACAAAATAACTTCTTAATCTATTCTGTGCTAAACTAAATCTGCTTTTATTGTGGAGAAATGCACCGGAAGTGCTGCTGCTAACAAAGTAAGCTGCAGGTGAGTACAGGTGAAACAATGCAGAGAATATGTGGTTGAATTGTAGTGTTTATATAATGAACATATTCAGTGTTAGTGTTGCAGTACTTTTTGTATGTTGTTAGTCAGTCTGATACATTTTGCAGAATTCACCAAATAAATGAGGATAGGATTTTATTCTGAAGGACTTGAAGCAGGAAGTGATGCAGAAACCTCTAGAGACTTTCTATTTTAAGTGAGAGATTATGGGAAGTGATTGGGATGGGCTGGAGTGTGTGTGAGGAGTGTGTGAGGAGGTGTGCAGTTTAACCCTCCAGCATGATGAAGCAGCTTCCTCTTCTTCCTCTTCTTCCTCTTTCCTCTTCTTCTTCTCTTCAGTCTCCTGACTGGAAACTCGTCTGCCTGCACAAACGGTGAGAACACTTACTCTTATTCACACAACATTACGTCATTTTGGTAATTTAATTACATCTAAAAGGCTAAAAAAAACATGCAGAAGTCTGGAAACAGAATATTATTAGTGTGCTTTTTATTGGTCATAGGGAAATGTAGAACAATATCTAAAGTAATGCATCATCAGTAGAAAGCCTATGAAGAAAAGGAGCGCCCATTGCAACATGGTTATAACCTGATCAATATAATAAATAAGATATCTAAAGGTCTCTTCTTATCAGTCTAAGCCATAATCATCATCTTATTGTAATAGGCCTTTTATTGCTAGTGCTCTCATAAAAACACCATTAAGGGATGTCTTTACACAAAAACATGTATGGATCTTTATAAAATAAATAAAGTATTCAGCTGAGATTCAGTGTTTTGTCCTCCACTAGGATTCAATGTAATAACATTTCTGGTAAAATTAGAGAGAGAGAGCAAAGAAATAATAGATATGACATCAGAATGTATTGCTATAAAGAAAAATGACATTTTAAATTTTGTTCAGATATATTCACATCCAATCCATTTAATCCAGATCTAAAATGAATAAAACTGACTTTTTATCAAATGACGTGTGTGTGTGTGTGGTGTTGTGTGTGTGTGTGTGTGTGTGTGTGTGTGTGGTGTTGTGTGTGGTGTGTGTGTGTGTGTGTGTGGTGTGTGTGTGTGTGTGTGTGGTGTGTGTGTGTGTGTGTTCAGCCTCTGCAGGTGAACACACTGAGTAACACATGTTTCTATCTTCCAGCTGACAGCAAAGTGATCTCCACAGAAGGGACAGATGTTATTTTACCCTGCTCCCCCAGCACCAGAGAAAACCTCCAAAATAAACTGTTTGACTGGAAGAAGGTCGGTCAGGGAGGAGAGAAACTCTGCACGAAGTCTTCATGTACGATTCTGCTGTTCATTATGAACGTCATTCAGGTCAGAGTGAGCAGTTTAAAGGACGAGTCTCATATTTTCAAAATGAACTGAAGCACGGAAACGCCTCCATCTTCATCAGGAAGACGAAGGTGATCGACAGTGGAAGTTACACCTGCTATTTTCCAAAGCTACAGCCTGATGAAAAATTCTGCATTGAGCTCGTTGTTGGTGAGTATTCTCATAAGACAGCAATAAGCCTTCTTATATATAGATATACACAAGTCTCATGTGCATTAAATCTGCAGCATTCATTCTCCTGTGAGACAATGTTCATCTGCTCTGTCTTCAAAAAACAGACACACTGTTGGATGAACATCAGCCATAATGTTCTCATGTTACTGTCCAGCAGACACTCTGTCTGTAAGGACTGACAAACAAAAAGTGTAAAACTGGCTGTGTCATCGGTGATACTGTTGTCAACCACCTTATGTACGCAGATGATTTAATCATCTTTTCCCCGTGCCGTGCAGGCTAGGCTTACAGCAGCGTCTGAGGATCCCAGTATGGCATTGATTGTAATATTAAAGTGGACCTATCATGCTATAGTTGAATAATATAGTGTAGGACCATACCTATATAAGGCATATTTATACTTTTTTTTTTTCAAAATACCAAACAGATCATGCATTTTAGCCATGCCTCATTTCGCTCAATTTGACAATTTATAGCTGTTTTTGCAAGGGTTGATTCTGTGAGAACAGCACCACATACAGGCCTGACATATGTACTACAGCGTCTCCAGCCCTTTAAGTATAACGCCAAGAAGAGTAGCATCATGATTGTGCGAAGTAAAGAGGATAAAAAGGCTGTATTTCCTAATTGTATTCTCAGTAGCAACATTCTTCTTGTGTGCAGTGAGATGAAGTACCTTGGTCATTATATCTCTGATGATCTCAGACGACAAAGACATCCATAGACAACGCTGCAAACTGTATGCCCAGGCAAACATATTAATGCGGACATTTCACAAGTGCTCTGTAGATGTCAAGGTATCACTTTTTAAAGCTTTCTGTACAGCAGTGTACACGGCTCACCTGTGGAGTAACTACAAGGCTAGCAGCATGCAAAAACTAAAAGTTGCATACAATGATGCTTTACGGTTGCTGGTGGGGTACCAAGATGGCACAGTGCCAGACAGCTGTTTGTTAACTTGGGGGTACCTACCTGTCAAGCCCTTTTAAGGAAGTTAATGTACAAATTCATGTGTCGCCTAGAAGACTCTGACAATCATGTTTCTCGATTTTAATTAACCCTGTGAAGAGTTCTACTCGGTTCTCTTCCATGACTTGGAGACATTGGCGCAACAGCCTCTACAGACAGTGAGCATGTGTGGCTAGCTGTCATTGGACTGGTTTTTATGTTTTGTATCTGTTTTTTTGTTTAATCTTATTTATTGTTGTGTATTTTGTCATTTTGTAGGTGATATGGACCTTGAGTCTGAAATAAAGATTGAATTGAAACAAGCTAAATCTGAGACTGGTGCTTCTTTTTAAGATTACGATAGTACATATATTTGTTGTATAACACGTTTCTGAGGACAGCTGATAATGTCATCCAAGAATTGTAAAACACTTCTGTTTGTTTTTTGCCTTCAGATCCTATCTTAACTGTCAGAACCATCCCAGGTGAGTCTGGATGTTACGACATCGCTCTCTACCTCACAGGTCTGATATTCAAAATCACTTCACTCCTCCCTGTGTTGACACATGGAGATTATTCCTCTGTGTTTAAAGCACCTGTAGGTTTTATGTGTTTTAATGTTTACACTATTTATGTGAGGGCTGTTAACTACTGTGATAATAGTCAGTATCAATACTTGTTGTTAAATGTATATAACTATTGATAGGGATCAATGTTTGTAATATCAAGAAAAATTCAAATGAAAAAGTCCTGAATCATCTTTTACATGATTTCATATTAGTAGTGTTACCAATCCCGCTTCAATCACATTAGTATGCATAAAAAAGTGACAGGTCACACCTTCTAAGTCCCGCCCCCTAATTATGCTAATGAGCCCCCTTTGATATGCTAATGAGCCCCTTTGTTCGAGGTGTTATCGCGTACAGGTGTTACATCCTCCCGGTAGCCCCCACCCCTCTCAGCCCCCCCCCCCTTAGCCCCCACCCCTTCTCAGCCCACCCCCCTCCCCCTCACATACAGGTGTTACATCCGCCCTGTAGCCCCCACCCCTCTCAGCCCCCACCCCTCTCAACCCACCCCCTCCTCTCCCCTTACAGTAGGCGTCACATCCTCCCTGTCGCCCCCCACCCCTGAAGATAGTGAGGGGGTGGAGTCAGTCATAAAAATAGAAATCTATGCAAAACTAGATAAAAGCCAGTCATTTGAGCTTTGAAACAAATTGATATGATTCGATATTAAACCAACTAATTATAGTAGATTAATTAACTATTCAAACGTGTACAGTAATTTACAATAACACGGGAATAATAAACGGGTCAGCAACAGCGGGTCTCCCCCGTCAGATTAGACTTTACTAGATTAGACTTTACTAGCGTTTATACCCATATCGATCAGATCTAGCTAGTTCTAGCTAATGATATGACTACCTGCTTATTAAAAGACACCTAAACAATAAGCGTCACTATGCAACGGGGTGAGGCCACAAAGTATAGTACAGCATTATGCATTTTGTTTACATGCCCACCGGAACCCCGAGGCATTACCAACAGATCAACGCGCAATCAACCCATACAGGACATCTCTTGCTACACATTATGTGTAGACATTATAATTGACTATTCTTGTCTGTCACATACTCTTTTGCCTGTCACACACTATTCTTGTATGTCACATAAGTGGCGCAACTGATGCGGTATTGCGCTAAAGGGGGCCAGTCAAGAAACGGGTGCAGTATCTGTGCCGGGTTCAGACCCTCCGTCTGAGGCTCTTCATGAAAAATGGAGTCTGGGTGTGTGAGACTGTCTCCCCTCATACCCCCTCCCACCCCCTCCCCTCCCCCCTGCCTGTCACCTCCTGATCTTGCGATCAGCTGTTAATTCTCATTCACTAAGTCACCTAAAACTTTTATTGGAATTGGGTTTTCTTTAGAGCTGTTTTCAGTGAGACAATGCAGTTTCTGATCATTTTAAGTTTCAAGTTTCAAGGCTTTATGGCATATGCCCATTAGCTACAGTGTAGATATGTCAAGGAAAAACATAGGTCACAGGCTCCTCCAACAGTGCACATAAAACAGATAAAATACTGCAATTTGTGCGTAATTCTCTCACAAAGGAACTGTAAGATACACGTTTATGTATGGAAAACTATATAACTTGGTAAAATATTCATTCATTTGTAATGAATTGAGTTTTCTTCAAGAATCAAACTCTAAATGGAGAGTTTGTGATTTTAACACTGTTTCGATGAAACAATGCAGTTTTGATAACTTGACTTGACTAACATTACTTTTTTAAATATATGTTTTTTAGATGCTTTACTTTTTGATTTCTTTCATATTATTTTAACACAACATTACTTTTTTCATATTTTTCAACATACATATATATAACATATATATATTTTTTTTCTCTCCATTTATTTTTGAATATACAGTGATTTTTATCAAAATACAACATGCAACTATTACATTATACAATATTACGACTTTTTGCGATATTTTCAACACAATATACCTTTTTTTTTGTAGGGCTTCAGGATATTTGGCATGTCATGCCTAAAACCGGTGTCATCTTTCCTGAAACTGACGTGCTGTCCGTTTTACAAACAAGTTATCTTTCTGCTTCTTCCCCCTATGAATTTTCCTCCCCCGTCCCTCTTACTACAGCCATCACAACAGCAACCAAGTCAGATCTGTGAAATTAAACACCTCTTCCCAAAGCGTGACTTCCCTATTGAGGGAGTGGGGCAGTGGGGCCTAACCCGCTTTGGCCAAATACAGATGAAGCGTCTTATTTTGGACAGTTTAAAATGCGAGGGTCGTGATCGGTTTGTGCACGTTCCGTGATGGCCGGCCGGCCCCCAGTCAGACTTGATACCGCCCCCATGATAAATACATTTAATTATTGTGAAGCCAGCTGCAATGGATCATTGATCCACCAGGGGTGCAGTGGGGTTCCACACTGGAGTCATGTGAAATCAACTTCTAAATAATAGATGTTGTTTAGTCGGAAAAACGAACGAGCCGGCTCTCCCGATTTTTAATCCTAATTTAATCATCATCATTGATGTTTATGTTCGCCGAATTGACATGAAATCACTGACAAATATGAATATTCTGTATTCAACTTCATTGAAACGATCAGGATGGGGGTTATTTTTCCCCACAATGACCAAGTCGCTGCAAATGATCCCATGTATTACATGTACATGGCCACATTCTCAACAAAGTTACGTAACGAAACATTCTGTATTCCTTGCTTACTTTTTATTTAATGCTTTATAACAGCTGGAATAGTTCGTTTAGAACAGGCACCTCACTCGCAATCTGCTCCTCCGCAACGCCTACCACCTACCTCCGGCTGAAATTATGAATGTACAGTAAGGCATAGTAATCATAGATAACACGGCAGGGTCCGTTACAGTTTGTTTTCATCTGATTTCAAATATTTCAAATGTCTGAAGTTAATAAATACATTCTCAGTGTTCAAGTCAATAATAGTCATATAAGAAAAGTACTGATCTAATAACAGAGATTTTATAAGGACTTTTCAATGTTCGACATCGCTCATGTGAAATACAGTAAACTGGATGTTGTGGTGCCGAGAGGCGGGGTATCAAAAGTACAAGCTAAACTTTTATTTAGCATCTGAACACACTTGTAAACAACGTGATGCCCGGGAAGTGAAGACCCGGCGGAAACAGCTGGTCTGGTTCACTAAAATGTCCGTGTACAGTATAGCTTTATAACAAATGAATAA